AATATTCATAAAAATTTACTATCATCACACTCGAAGGAAGCACTTTAATCTAATTATACTTTTGTACATCTTTCATATGACAAAACATGCACATTTACCCAAGAATTGATGTTCAATGATGTCGATATCAATTCTATTAATCAAAACAGCGAATGAGAGACAACTTGTGTGTCCATCAGGAAGAGGATGTTAAATTAATTATGACACATACATACTTTGTAATTCCAGGGAGTAAAGAGTAACGTGATCTACATATACGCTCACAGAAAGATCCCACCTTCATTTTATTCAGTGACAAGGCCAAGTCAGAACCATAGTATGATATTTATGATAACACTATGATAGTGTTACATATGTATTTTTGAAACTCACAGTGTATATTTCTAGCACAGATAAGACTGGCCTGGAATAAATGTTAAAATACTACACAGAATTTTTAATGCACTTACCTCTGGGCAGGGATGAATCTTTGAGGAATATAGTAAGGAAGAGTAATTATGATTTCTTCCTATTGTTAGAATGTTTTGGAAACAAGAATATATGTCCTATTTCCTTTGTAGTTAAGATATTTAAATAAACATAACAAATAGTAGGTGTGTATTACTCAGATAAAGTTTTTATGAGATAAGAGAAGTGATTTCTGAATGACTTAACATAAAATTTTATTTCTTGTGCACATAAAATCTGCTGGGTACTGGCAGTGGAAGAGAGGGTCTACGCTGTCAGGTAACTCAGGGATCCAGGCTACTTCCATCATGAGCTAACACATCTCAACACAGGCTCTCCACATTTGCAGCTGAATAAAATAAGAAGCATGGAGTTGTGTGTGTGTGTGTGTGTCTGTGTGTCTCTATGTGTGTCTGTGTGTATGTATTAATTGCTCAGTCATGTCTGACTCTTTGCGACCCCATGGACTGTAGCCTGCCAGGCTCCTCTGTCCATGGAATTCTCCAAGCAAGAATACTAGAGTGAGTTGCCATGCCCTCCTCCAGGGGATCTTCCCAACCCAGGGATTGGACCCAGGTCTCCTGCATTGCAGGCAGATTCTTTACCATCTGAGCTACAGGGAAGTCCTGGAGTTGGCCTGCTGGTCCTCAAATACCTGGGTCTGGAGGTGACAGCTATGTTTCCACTCATATTTCAGTGTCAAGGATAGTCACATGACCGTTCTTAACTATAAGTGGTTGAGCATGTAGTCTTCATATGAACCAAGGATGGAGAGCAGGACACAAAGTGAATGAGCACTTGCAGATGTTCCCATTAACTGTTACACAGTAGCTGCTTAAAAAAGAGCCACTATTAAAATTTGTTATGACCGTAGCCCTCGTCATTCCTGGAGGATTTTCTGAGATCAAATTCCCTTGCAATTCAATAACTTTTTCTAGTGCCAGTATGTGACTGATGTTCTCAAATATAGGTTCACAGCCACTTTCAAAAGGATCTTGTAAATCTCAGCAGGGAGGTGCACCCTTCTTCATTCTTAGCACCTTTCTGCACTGACCTTTTCAGTAATCTCTAAAATCTCAATACACTATTTTCCTTCTTCCTTCTGCTGCATGAAAAAAATAATACTTGAGTCCATGCTATTCACCACCTGTTGGACATGCCTGAATACTTGGACAGGTGTCTTTGACACACTGGAAAATCAGAGTCCCTCTGGGGCAGATACAGACAAGAGGCCGAAGAATGATGGTCATTTTTTAATTTTTATTAAAGCTGGCATCTTCACCAAGAAGACAGTTTCTACCTCTGTGTTAGACTCAATATTTGTTCCACATAATGCCCATAACCTTACCCTGAAATTTGTGTTACATAGCCAAAGGTAGCTAGTGTGTGTAATAAAACTTATGGAATGAATCTTTAAAATGGGAGGTTACACTGAATTATCTGGGTGGGCCCAATTCAACTACATGAGCCACATTACAGATTCAATGTGCTGTTTCAGAAGCAGGGGCCCATTTGCAAGGACTGAAGAAAGGCCTAGAGGAACTATGGCATCTCCAACTGATAGTCTGCAAGGAGACAGCCTCATTCTTCTAACTACAAATAAGTGAATTCTTGTTAGAACCGGAATCTGAGAGCAACCTGAGCCAGTATGGAATGCGATTCTTCTCAGCACCTCCCAATGAGAACCCAGACTCTGACAGCTTGATTTGGGTTTGCATAACCCTGAACAATGACAACAGCACAGCCAACCCATATTTCTCATCTACAGAAATGTGAAATAAATGTGTGTTGTTGCAAGTTCCTTAATTTATGGCAATTTGTTTGTTGGCAATAGAAACATACTAAATGTTCCTAAAAATCTGAGTTTTGGGTAATGCAGTTCCTACAGATGGTTGCTGCACAGTGATTTCCTTGGTCCTTCCTCATCCTGCCACTTAGGAAAGAAGCTTTGGTTCTTGGCCACTTAGTTAAGCTCACTCTTCAGTGTAAGGATTCAGTGGTCAGTCTCAAATAAATCCAAGGTTAAATTCTCCTTTCTTACTAACATCATCCACTCTCTAAAATCTCTTCCCTAACTTTAGGGTTATCTTTCAGTAACCTGTAGATCCTGTGTCAAACCAGACTCTACTCACAAGTCAATCTGGAAAAAAAAAATCTTTTAGTGGAAGTGCCTAAAGTAGATGGGTGGGTGTGTATGTCAGTCACTCAGTCGTGTCCAACTCTTTGTGCCTCCATGGATTCTAGCCCACTGGGCTCTTTTGTCCATGTGATTCTCCAGGCAAGAATACTGGAGTGGGTAGCCAGTTCCTTTTCCAGGCGATCTTCCTGACCCAGGGATTGAACCTGGGTCTCACACGTTGTAGGCAGATTCTTTACCGTCTGAGCCACCAGGGAAACCCATGTCTAAACCTCACTGCCGAAGTAGCCACATGAACGGGGCTATTGTTATCAGAGAGGTTCATAGTCAGGGATGGGACAGACAGGGGACATCTGCAGGGGGTTGGGAGGCCCTAAATCAGGGAAAATGCAAGTAATTCTGGGCTTTTTGTTCCACTGGGAGCAGAGAGCAGCCTTATGAAAGGATATTAGACAGCAGGTCAGGACCCAGACTGTGACAGGAGAAAGTCGCAATGCAAGAGTGATGTTATTTCTGAAAGTGCTTGATTAGGGCAGAGTCACCTCCCAAGGAATTCTGAGGGGATGGGCAGGAGGAGCCTAGGTGAGTTAAGTTCACAGCCTAGACTGTATTTTTTTTTTGATTGTATTGTTTTTAATTCTCATTTTCATTTCTTATACGTGGGGGTAGTACATTGGCAACAGGGTCCGTCATTTCATCTCCTGAGAGACACTGTGGAGTGTTGAGACTAGAACCGAACTAAGAGACAGAACAACTGCTTCATTCAAGGGGTGGAACAGTGAGGGCCCTAAATGAATTCAGACCAGAGGTCTAGTTCCAGTTCTGACATTCACGAGCCATGTGAAGTCAGGAAAATTGCAAAGTTCTGTGAGGCTTTTCTATGAAGTGAGTTTGATAGGCCTTGCTGTGTAGGATTCCTGGGATATATGTAATACATGAAAGCACCAAGCATGGTGTCTGGCAAGTATTGGGTCTTTTGCAGTTATTGCTATTATTATTTTGATCCCAGATCCTATCAAAATCTGCTCTATGGTCTATTTAATCCAAGAAATGACCAATAATATGAAGCACCCTATGATAAGGCACAATAAATCAGCTAATATGATGCTTAACAAGTAAAACTTTATATGTAAGTTGTTGAGGTTATTTATTGTGTGTGTAAGGGAGTTTTCCAGGCTTCCCAGGCAGCGCAGTGGTAAAGAATCTGCCTGCCAGTGCAGGAGGCACAAGAGATGCGGATTTGATCCCTGGGTGGGGAAGATGCCCTGAAATAGGAAATGGCAACCTGCTCTAGCATTCTTGCCTGGAGAATTCCATGGACAGAGGAGCCCAGTGGGCTACAGTTCATGGGGTCTCAAAGAGTTGGACATGACTGAGCATGCACACTCGAGCCCACATGTACATGCGCGTACACACACACACACACACACACACGGGTCTTCTCCAGTTACATGGAACTTAAGGATTCCAGAATTTGTGTCAAGTACCAATTCCTTCCATCCCTTCCAACCCTCCTTCCATTCAAACCACATCCATTTTCATTTATTTCAATCCCATTAAAAATCTAGCCCTAACCTGGAGTTTGCCAAATTGCATACAAGACAACCTAATGAAATGAACTTCAAATGTAGTGGACTCTATCTCCCAGGCCAGAGCAAAGATGGCAAGCACAGTGGCTTCTGACCACACACGTCATATAGAGTATCACCCCTGTTTCTCAGAAATTCCCTGGGCATGATGGGCATAAAACACATAGTTCATGTGTTGTGCTCAACTGCTCTGACAAAAGGACACTGGAAAGGATGCAGGTCACCTTCCATTCTTATTCCAGGTGGAGAATTCTCTCCGGTTTACCCATGACTCAAATGTAACTGCAAGGAGTTCTCCATTTCAGGCTTTAGTCTCTCAACTCTGGACACACTTTCTGAAGGTCTGACCCTTTCCCACCACTCCCACACCCTTATTTGATCCACCTCCTAGCTTACCACAGCCTGACTCCCACTGAAGGATTTGCCATTTCTCAAACTCACTTGCCTCAGAGTGTTTACACTTGACTGCTCACTTCTGGATCCTCCAATGTCCTCTCTTCCTTTTGACTTGTCCTTAGGTATCAGAGTCTCTCACCATCTTTACTTTACAACTGTTGCTAGATTCAAAAATTCTATGGGCACGCTTGGTTTTTTTTTATCTTGATGTTCTCAGTAGTAGCCTAGAGCCTGACAAAGAGCAAGCTCATGGAATGTTTGAGAAATAGATGAGACACTGTGAAAGAGATCTTATTTATTATGATGTAATTAAAGTAAACACATCCAAGTATATATCTCTTAATTTTACAGAACAGACTAAATGTGATAAGGCATGTAAAACTTTATCACCTTTTACATTTTTTTCTATTTCTTGATCTGAGCCATTTTACTGCTGATTTCTTTTCACATTTCCTTGGAAATGCCTAATCCAATGACATGTTATCTTGTTCTGAATAAGTAAATAAGACAAAGTTTCCCAATTTCTTCTATAAAATAGTAAAACTCATAAACATCAATACATGTTTAATTTATATTATTCATAAACTCAGATTCTGAAGCTAGTTAAATTTCTACTAAAAGGAGCAACATTTATGCAAATTTATCCACATAGAACAGGAACACAAACATGTTATATATACTCCGTTTTCTCCAGCCCTGCCCCAATCTTCCACTAGTGAGAACATCAGCGGTTCTCTTCAAATTTTCCTCAGACTTCACTTGGTGCAGGAGAAGCTGCGGGCTGTGGCCGAGGAGTGGCCACTGGCCAAAGCAGCAGCGCGAGCCCTGGCTGAAGCTCTAGCTTGGGCTCTCTCTTCCTCATCTCTCAAAGCCTCCGCATACAAGGATGTGAAGGCAGTGGGGGCCCTACCATGGATCTTAGCTACAAACTCCAGCACTTTCATCTTGGTGGTTTCAGTGTAGGCTTTCGGGCCCCACAGAAACTCATAGCATGGAGGATCACTATTGGCCACCTGGCGGTACTCAAGATACTTTTCCTGCACTAAATCTTTGGTGATGAGCTGCTTCGGATCCCCATAGATGATGTCCTTCTTCCCCTCATATAACTCCATCTTATTCAGCACTTTCCACACTTGCTCTTCAGTGGCGCAGTTGCCGTTCGTGAAGATCACACCCAGGACAATCATCAGCAGACCAGTCTTGGGAAAAAATCTGCCATTACCTGGCTTTTCGTCAAAGCCCATATCCAGTTTATTGACAAGGACATAAGTACCCCTGTTGGGATCCGCTTCCTTCAAGTCGAGGCCAAACATCAGCTCCAGATGCTCAGAGGCTTTCCTGAGGATCTCACTGAATTGATTCTTGTACTTGTAGGTTACATGTTTCAGCATATTTGCCTTGGTCACAGGCTCTTTCGTTTGATACTTGTACAGAAGGTGATGCACCAACAAAGCAATCTTATCGTCTACAGGACCTTTGGGCCGGCGCTGGATGGTATCTTGACTCTGAGAGGCTTTTGGCCTTTCCTCTCCTTGATCGGTGGCACCTTCACTAAATTTTGCATCTGAAACAGAGGCAGCAACAGTGGTGGTGGAGCAGACTTTGCCAGGCAATTGAAGACTGCTGGATGTTCCAGTGGCAGCTGAGCTCTGGGGAACATCTTCAAAAGAAGGAGATGGGGAAGAAGGGGATTCTTCTTTCTCTGGTTCAGTGGGCTGAGCTTCCACCAGATCACTGGGCTCTTGTCGAGCCTGGCGGCGTTTTTCACGGGCGCGAAGCTTACTCTTCTGACCCCGAGGCATGATGACTGACAGTACGTGAGAAAGAGGGTAAATGACTCTATCACCTGGAAGAAAGAGAACGAAATGGTGTGACTTTTCAGTGGGGATGACAGCCCCCTCTGCAGGTTTCCTTGCAGGCACTGCTCTAGAAACCCATAAGGCTCCTCTTCCCTGATCAGCCTTTCCCCTGAAGACTGTGGAAGCAACTAGAGTTCACCTTTAGGCTGCAGCTCTCCTGTCCTACCTAGGTTCTACTGGAGCTGATATAGAGTCTGGCCAGTCCAGGCCCTCTGGAGCCTCCCCTGTTCTGGAGTAGCAGATGTTTCTGTCAGTTCACATTCAAGGCCATTACCTTGACTTCTAGCAGGACCCGAGGTCCTGTGCCTAACTGCTCTCATGCTGACTCGTCACTCCAAAGCTCTCCAAAGCCCTCACATCCCTGACATCGTGGAGGAGGAACTGAAAGGGGACATCACTCTGGGGTGGCAGCAGTGACAAAGCTCTCTGGGACCATCTCCAAACTAGGAGAATCAGGATTCTCACCCCTCACTCAGAGTCCTTACCTTGGTTTCTTGCAGGACCTAAGACTTCTCCCTTGGCTGACCTTAGACCTACTCCTTTGGAGCACGGCCTTCACATCTCTGAAAGTCCTAGGAAGAGTTTAGGGAGATCTCACTTTAACATATCTTCACCAGGAACCCTTGCCAGGGATGACATCACATGTAGGGCTCTGTGAAACACCCTCTGTTCTGTGATGGGTTGTCCCCTCAACCCTGTGGTTCCTGATAGTAATTCCTCCCCTTGACTAACTGGTGTCTTCCCTTCTTCAGGTCTGAGGCCTATAATAATCAAACCAAGGCTCTCATCCCCCTGATATCTTGGAATATGCAGTGGAGGGGGGCGGGCGTGGCAGACTCAGTATGACAGATCTCTGAAGGGCTTCCCAGGGCTGGTCACAGAGGAAGGGCCTGACTTGCTGTACCGCCCTTCAGTCCTCTCTATGACTTCTAGAAGGGCCTGGCTGGATCAATTATTTGTAATAGGACCCTCTTCTCTCTGTGACCACTGAGGATAAAGTGAGAGACGTCTTAGCTTGACAGCCCTGCTTAGCCTGACACCAGGGCTTAAAACAAGGTGGCACTCTGTGGGGCCCCCCTTTGTCTTAAGGGAGAACTTCCTACAGTCCTTGCTCAAGGTTCTGAACTTAAAACCACCCCTAGGACTCCTCCCTCTGCTAACCTGAATTGTCTAGCATTAGACCAAGGNCCCCCCACTAACGCCCCCCCTGCACTCCCCTCCCCATGGGAAGGTGAGGTGAGAGGGCATGTGGACCTTATGGCCCTGCCAGGAACCCCCAAGACTGACCACATGGGCGGGGCTCTGTAGGCTCGGCTCTGGGGAGGCCATTTCCCCTAGAATGCAAACAGGGGCATTTATTCACTCCTGGCCGGGCCTGGTATTCCATCCTCTACTGGGTTGAGACAGGCATCCCCCTGGTCAAGTGTCTCAACCTCCTGCAGGGGCCAGACAGGACATTAGGTGTGCCTAGTCCAGTAAGCCATACATGGGGTCTGTCGGGACCAGCTGCCGTGAAAGGGAACCCAGGGGAAAGGGGACGTTCCGCCGAACTCACAAAGGGTTCTTCGTTGATCCTGAGAGGCCCTGCATTCCTCTGCTGGCTTGACGCCAACACCCTGGGGCAGTGTTACTATTTCCCTAAATTCCTAGAATATGTCGGCAATATGTCGGACGATCCCCGATCAGAATCTTCTAGAACTGAAGACAGGGCAGAACTATAGTGCCTATGGGGCCTTCTGTCTTTTGAGTTAGAGGGTCCCTCAAACCTTACCTTACCCCTGGTAGAACTCGGATGCTTCTCTCTGCCGACCGGACGCCACGTACTTCTCGCACCACACAGTCTCACCGCCTAACCTCTGGAGACGGAAGTCAGTGTGCCGCACATCCGGGCACCTCTACCCACGCACCCGACGCTCTCCACGCCCACTGCCCTTCCTCCCAGGCTAGATTGCAGAGGCGGGGCTTGAGTCTGCGGTGCCTGCTCTCTTCCGTTATGGGTGATACCCAAAGACCTCTCTGCAGAGTTAGGGCCTCATTTTGGCTCCTGATGGATTGATTAAAGGCTCCTTGGGAAATGCCACCTCTGTGTAAGTTCCGGACAGTTTCTCAAGCCCTTTCAGACAGTGGGTACAACTGCCAGGGTGATGTGAGATGAAGATGCTGCCGCACACGTGAAGTAGGGGGAGTAGAACGGGTTCTGGGCTGTAAAGAGAAAATGCATTGTGATGATGGATCTCGTCGCTTGTATACTCTCGTGAGTCTTTCTGTTCGAAAAATTCTACTTTCTGCAGGGAAGAGTCAGATCTGCATAATTTTGGGAACCCAGATCTTTTTATCTTACCTAACATTGCACAGGATAGTGAAATTGATTGCAATATTGACTCTCATTTATGATGAATATATTATATACCTGTTCTAATAATTTCTGCTTTGTACGCAAGGCTCTTGGTTTTGCTACAGTTGTCTGTATACCAGCTTTCTGAAGTCACTTATTCATTTGAATAATCCATGGCCTTTGCCTTTCTATTTCTGTAAAATGATGATCAAATTTACAGTGAGTAATTTCTGTTTCTTTTTAATGATTCTAACATTTATTTATTTTTGTATTTTTATCCTCTGGTTATGCATTCCAGTCCAATTTTAAACAGTAAAGTTGGTAGCATGCTGCTTGCTTTGTCTTCTTCCTTACCTTAACAGTAATGCTGACATTTCGCATTTAACATTTCATTTACTGTAGAGTTTCAGTTCAGTTCAGTTCAGTTCAGTTCATTCGCTCAGTCGTGTCTGACTCTTTGCGACCCCATGAATCGACCCTGTCCATCACAAACTCCCGGAGTTTACTCAAACACATGTTCATCTAGTCAGTGATGCCATCCAGCCATCTCATCCTCTGTCGTCCCCTTCTCCTCCTGCCCCCAATCCCTCCCAGCATCAGGGTCTTTTCCAGNTATTTGGAACCAGTCTGTTGTTCCATGTCCAGTTCTAACTGTTGCTTCCTGACTTGCATATAGGTTTCTCAAGAGGCAAGTTAGATGGCCTGATATGCCCATCTCCTTCAGAATTTTCCATAGTTTATTGTGATCCACACAGTCAAAGGCTTTGGCATAGTCAATAAAGCAGAAATACACGTTTTTCTGAAACTCTCTTGCTTTTTCGATGATCCAGTGGATGTTGGCAATTTGATCTCTGGTTCCTCTGCCTATTCTAAAACCAGCGTGAACATCTGGAAGTTCACGGTTCATGTATTGCTGAAGCCTGGCTTGGAGAATTTTAAGCATTACTTTACTAGCGTGTGAGATGAGTGCAATTGTGTGGTAGTTTGAACATTCTTTGGGATTGCCTTTCTTTGGGATTGGAATGAAAACTGCCCTTTTCCAGTACTGTGGCCACTGCTGAGTTTTCCAAATTTGCTGGCATATTGCGTGTAGCACTTTCACAGCATCATCCTTTAGGATCTGACTGTAGATTTTAGGAAATGCAAATGTCCTTCTAATGCTAGTTTGCTACATAGTATTATTACGCATTCGTGTTTAATTCTTTTCAAAAGCTTTTTCTGCATTTCAGTGCATGGTCAAATAAATTTAAAATTTTTATGTGTTAATGTGGTAATGTTTTAGGCAGTTTTTTCCTAATGTTATATCATCATTACATTTCTTGGATTCAGCTTCATTTTTTTTTCCATTTAATTCACTGCTGTATTGAAACGTCTATGGATTTATTTAGGATCCTTTCCTGTGTGGGGGTGAGTTTGGTTCAAGTATTCTGTTTTCAGGGTGTCCTCAGATGGTTTTCTTATCAAGGAGAGCTAGCCAGGGAAAATGAGTTAAAATATTTCCTATTTTTTTTAATGCATTTGATGTGTCTACATAAGATGGTGGTTAATTTTTTGCTTATTATTTGATAGACCTGCCTTGTTCTGAAACATTTGAAAGTGTTGAGGAGAGTTTCAGTTTGTATTTCTCAACTAGAGTTTTCTATTTCTGTTTGGACCACTTGAATAATTAATATTTTTTCTAAATACTGGTCTATTTTCACTGGGGTTTCAAATTTAATGGCAACATGTATGTTCTTTTTATTGGAGAAATTCTCAAACATACACAACAGTAAAGAAACTAGTGTAGTAAAATCAATAACACCTGATATCAGAATCAACAATCATCAACACATACTCAATCTCACTCCCACTTATACCCATAGGTACCCCAATCTCTGCCACTGAAATAATGAGAAACAAATCCTAGATATAATATTGTTGCATCTTTAAATATGTCGATACCTGTTTCCAAAAGATAGATATTCTTTATGAAGCACAAACCAATTACACATATCCTACCTAAAAAACTAACTATAATATCAACAAATGTCCAATTATTTTTCACAATTACCTGATAATTTTTAAGTGTTTTGCCCTTGAATTAGGGGCAAATGAAGGCTATGCATTGTCAATGCTTTTTATGTCATTATGCTTTCTTTTATGCTTTATATTTTTATGATTTTAACTTATAGATCTTATCCTCCCCTCCCTCCATAGATACATTACTTCTTTCTCTTTGTCATTTATTCTTTGGCTGTTGTTGGGGGGAAAAAATCTGATGATATGTTCAGTCCAGTTTCCTATGGCTTGGATTTTGCTGATTGCAATATTGGTGTCCTTGTCCCCCTGTATTTCTCTAAATCAGTTGAAGTTGGATCAGATTAAGGTTTAACTTTTTTCTCTGTCTTTTTTTTTCCTATGAAAAGACCACTGCATGGGTGGTACTGTGAACTTTCATTACTAGGAACTGAATGTATGTTATCTGTTTGTATTGATGTTTGCAGTCTTTGAAGAGTAGCATGTTGTTGTTCATTTGATAAGTCCTGTCTGACTCTGTGATCCCATGGACTGCAGCACACCAAGCTTCCCTGTCTTTCACTATCTCCCAGAGTTTGCTCAAATTCATGTCCATTGAATCAGTGATGCTATCTAATCACCTCATCTTCTGCCTCCCTCTTCTCCTTTTGCCTTCAATCTTTTCCAGCATCAGGGTTTTTTCCAATGAGGTGGCTCTTCGCATCAGGTGGCCAAAGTATTGGAGCTTCAGCTTCAGCATCAGTCCTTCCAATGAATATTCAGGGTTGATTTCTTTTAGGATTCACTGGTTTGATCTCCTTGCAGCCCAGTGGACTCTCAAGAGTCTTCTCCAGCACTGCAATTCAAATGCATCAGTCCTTTGGTGCTCAGCCTTCTTTATGGTCCAATTCTCACAGATGCATATATGACTACTGGAAAAACCATAGCTTTGACTATACGGACCTTTGTCGGTAAAGTAATATCTCTGCTTTTTAATATGCTGTCTAGGTTTGTCTGGGCTTCCACTGGGGCTTCTCTGGTGGCTCAGTGGTAAAGAATCCTCCTGCCAATGCAGGAGACAAGAGACACAGGTTCAATCCTGAGTCGGGAAGATCCCCTGGAGGAGGGCATGGCAACTCACTCCAGCTTTCTTTCCTGGCAAATCACAAGGACAAAGGAGCCTGAGGGCTACAGTCCATAGGGTCACAGAGTCAGACATGACTGAAGCGACTGAGCACTAGGTGTGTCATAGCTTACCTTCCAAGGAGCAAGCGTATTTTAATTTCATGGCTGCAGTCAGTGTCCACAGTGATTTTGGAGCCCAGGAAAATAATATCTGTTACTACTTCTATTTTTCTCTTTCTATTTGCCATGAGGTGATGGGACTGGATGCCATGATCTTAGTTTTCTATTGATTTTTAAGCCAGCTTTTTCACTCTTCTCTTTATCCCTCATCAAGAGGTTCTTTAGTTCCTCTTCACTTTATGCCATTAGAGTGGTATCATCTGTATGTCTGAGGTTGTTGATATTTCTTTTTATTTCCATTCATTTTTATTAGTTGGAGGCTAATTACAGTATTGTAGTGGCTTTTGCCATACATTGACATGAATCAGCCATGGATTTACATGTATTCCCCATCCCGATCCCCCCTCCCACCTCCCTCCCCACCCCATCCCTCTGGGTCTTCCCATGTAGCAGGCCCGAGCACTTGTCTCATGCATCCAACCTGGGCTGGTGATCTGTTTCACCATAGATAATATACATGTTTCAATGCTGTTCTCTTGAAATATCCCACCCTCGCCTTCTCCCAGAGTCCACAAGTCTGTTCTATACATCTGAGTCTCTTTTTCTGTTTTGCATATAGGGTTATCGTTACCATCTTTCTAAAGTCCATATATATGTGTTAGTATACTGTAATGGTCTTTATCTTTCTGGCTTACTTCGCTCTGTATAATGGGCTCCAGTTTCATCCATCTCATTAGAACTGATTCAAATGAATTCTTTTTAATGGCTGAGTAATATTCCATGGTGTATATGTACCACAGCTTCCTCATCCATTCGTCTGCTGATGGGCATCTAGGTTGCTTCCATGTCCTGGCTATTATAAACAGTGCTGC